ATCGGCCCTATGTTGGCCCGATGTTGGTATCAAGTAGAGTCTGATAGTTTCAACTTTGGGCAAACATATAAGTATGCAAAGCATGGTCAGTTTTTTTTTTTTTTTTTGTCAAAAGTACAATATGCCATTCCACTAAACTTTTGTATGGATAAAAAAGTGAACTTGAAAATGAATAAAGTGAACAAAATTCGTCGCAAAGATCGGATTTATTGAACTGTTGTATCCAACATCGGCCCATCATTGGGCCAACATTAGTTCAAAATTTTGATGCAAACAACAACAAATGGTGTTTGCTACTAACATGAGATTATAGTATGAATTTACAACAGCGGGCCAACGTTGGACCAATGATGTGCAGCCAACACCAACGTACGCCCAACGGACCGGCAATTTGCCAACGTTGGCCCACCGTTAGTCTGTTGACTGGGATGGCTGTCTGGTAAACATCGTTAGTATCTTTGCATCGGAAATAAACACATTTGTTCTAAAACCAGTTGTTGGCATGATAAGGGTTATTTTCTTCTCATATATTTTATGATGGTATGATACTAAACCCCTAACGGGAGGGATTGTGTTTGATTTTCATATGATGGAGACATAATCTTTCAATCAGTTTAATTGAAGTCTAGAGCTAGCAAGTCACTTACTGCTAGAAGTCCTTTGTTAATTTATGCATCATTTTCATTTTGCTTAGTTTCTTTTGTTACCTATTCTGACATCGGACTCGGACGTCTTTTAAATTGCGTTTTACAGTGCGTATTGTTGTGTGTTTGTTTATTCTACATTGGCTAGAGGTATCGGGGAGGGTTGAGATCTCAAGAAACATGTTTAACCCTGCAGCATTTTTACTACTGTCACAAGTCAGGAGCCTCTGACCTTTGTTAGTCTTGTATGGTTTTTTAATTTTAGTTCATTTATATGTTTTGGAGGTTAGTATGACGTCCATTTTCACTGAACTAGTACACATTTTTATTTAGGGACCGGCTGAAGCCCGCCTCCGGTTGCGGAATTTTCTCGCTGTGTTGAAGACCCCTTGGCGGCTGTTTTCTGCTCTTTGGTCGGGTTGTTGTCTCTTTGACATATTCCCCATTTCCATTCTCAATCTTATTATCAATGTATCAGCAACCCAATAACAAAACAATTTAAGAAACAAATTTGTAATCAGATCATTATTATTGGAATTCCTAACAGGTCCTTGTAAATTCACAAGAAAATCTTTTATGGTCATAGCTAACATTCTTTGTCCACAAACATCATAAATTCCAATAAAGTGTTCACATAACTGTTTTATAAAACATGAATAGACCCAAATAAGTCTGTCATTTTCAAACAGTATACAAAATGTAATTCTTGCGGTTTTTGTTCTTTATTTTAGTGTTTATGAATGGATGATTGCATTAGAAAGTGGATAAAAATGTTCATATTTTTTTTAGATTCTCACTTATATAATGTTTTACTTTTGAAGTCAATTTGATAGAAAATAGCATACGGCTTATTCACGATCACAACCATATCAACCCACGATACTTAACATGATTAAAGGCCGACCTTAAACAATTCATTGTTTGATGTTGCCTACCCAGGACTTGAAGATTTGGACAGGTAGGTATGTATTTTATTATTTTATTTGGCCAACAACACAAGTTGAAATTGAGAATGGAAATGGGGAATGTGTCAAAGAGACAACAACCCGACCATAGAACAGACAACACCAGAAGGTCACCAACAGGTCTTCAATGCAGCGAGAAATTCCCGCACCCGGAGGCGTCCTTCAGCTGGCCCCTAAACAAATATATATACTAGTTCAGTGATAATGAACGCCATACTAAACTCCAAATTGTACACAAGAAACTAAAACTAAAAATAATACAAGACTAACAAAGGCTAGAGGCTCCTGACTTGGGAGTTACATGTTTGATACAAGAAAACAACCTTAGAGCCAAACTTTTAAAACACTTTGAAATGATTTGTGTCATATTTTTTTCTTGGGTAGGCTGCTTTTTAGATGGGTAGTTAGGCAACATCAAATAATTTAGATTTAATTGTTAACCTAATTAATTCCAAGAGCTCTGCTTGAGGGATCATATTGTTTGAGCAGGCTCAGGGTTGATATGTTTTATCGTGTTGGATATTGAAAAAGCCATATCATATACACTTCATTACATGCCTCAAGTAGATATGTTTTGCGTGAGTCAAAACATGATGTAAAATAGATAAGAGGTTTGATAAAACTTTATATGAACTGGTGACTCAGATATCAATGATTTAACACATTATACAGATTCGGGATTTGATAAAGCTTGGCACTCATGACTGATACCAATGAGGTCAGTCAGGGGTACTACTTGTACAAGTCATCTTTATTTACTCCAAGAAGTAAATAATAATATACTTATATAAGTAAATTTTGTTATGTTAATTTTTCTGATAAAATTTTAATATTCTCCTCTTAATTTTCTAAAAAATTTACTTTCATAAGTAACTTTTTTTTTACACTCCCTAAAATTCTCAAGGTTTGAGATGTAAAAACATGCCTTTAACAATTTTTCATTGGTTAGCTTTTTTTTTTTTAATTTCATCTCCTTAATTCAACAAAGAAGCACATTGCGCACAGATCCTAAGATCCACAGATCAATAATTGCGCAAGGCCTTCAAAAATTGCACCTTGGGGGCTTGTGAATGAGCAGTGTTCTGAAGATAACAGATAAACGAAATTTTGGTTCTGAAGATAACAGACAAATGAGATTTTCATTGTCCATGAAATTACACTTAAATGATTAGTGATGACATCTGCAAAGGACAGACAATCAAAAATTCTATTAGAGCAAAAAAGTCCTGAGAAATTCAAGAAAAGAAGAAAGTATGACTTTTTTACTTCTGTAAGTAAAAAATCTGAATGTCTTAAGGGACATAACTCAGCCAATAAAATACTAGTAATTTACCTATACAAGTAAATAAAATACACTTGTATACTTAGTATCTTACAAATTTACTTATATAAGTATATTAATATTTACCTCTTCAAGTATATAAAAATAACTTGTACAAGTAGTGTCCCTGACTGGAGGTGACACCATACAGATTCAGGGGTTCGATAAATTAAAGCCTTCGAAATCGTGACTGATATCAATGACTCAGCTATCAATGATATGACACCATACAAATTCAGGGGTTTGATATAGCCTTGGAAATCATGACTGATATCAATGACTCAGCTATCAATGATATATGATACCATACAGAGTCAGGGGTTTGATATAGCCTTGGCAATCATGACTGATATCAATGACTCAGCTATCAATGATATGACATCATACAGAGTCAGGGGTTTGATATAGCATTGGAAATTATGACTGATATCAATGACTCAGCTATCAATGATATGACACCATACAGATTCAGGGGTTTGATATAGCCTTGGAAATCATGACTGATATCAATGACTCAGCTATCAATGATATGACACCATACAGATTCAGGGGTTTGATATAGCCTTGGCAATCATGACTGATATCAATGACTCAGCTATCAATGGTATGACACCATACAGATTCAGGGGTTTGATAAAGCCATGGGAATCATGACTGATATTAATGACTCAGTCATCAATGATACGACACCATACAGATTCAGGGATTTGATAAAGCCTTCGAAATCGTGACTGATATCAATGACTCAACTATCAATGACATGACACCATACAGATTCAGGGGTTTGATATAGCCTTAGAAATTATGACTGATAACAATGACTCAGCTATCAATGATATGACATCATACAGATTTAGGGGTTTGATATAGCATTGGCAATCATGACTGATATCAATGACTCAGCTATCAATGATATATGACGCCATACAGATACAGGGGTTTGATAAAGCCTTGGAAATTATGACTGATATCAATGACTCAGCTATCAATGATATGACACCATACATAGTCAGGGGTTTGATATAGCATTGGAAATTATGACTGATATCAATGACACAGCTATCAATGATATGACACCATACAAATTCAGGGGTTTGATAAAGCCTTGGAAATAATGACTTATATCATGACTCAGATATCAATGATGTGACACCATACAAATTAAGGGTTTGATAAAACCTTGGAAATCATGACTGATATCAGTGACTGAGATATGAATGATGTGACACCATAAAGATTCAGGGGTTTGATATAGGCTTGGAAATCATGACTGATATCAATGACTCAGCTTTCAATGATGTGACACCATACAGATTCAGGGGTTTGATATAACCTTGGAAATCATGACTGATATCAATGACTCAGATATCAATGAGGTGATTCTCATATAGCTGACATATGAGTATCAAACAGCGGATCATGCTTCAAATATTTGCCACTGGACTTTGAGCAAATAGCAATAGAAATCAGAACTATATAATTTTAATCTGATGTTTCTGTAGATTTCTTTGATAGTATTCCATGAAATTATGCAGTGAATCAGAGAAAGCAATCAACCATCACTTAGTTTTACAATGGTTCACTGATCAATAACTGTTAACAAAACAATGAAATCAACTTGTTTGTACTGTACCAATGTTATAACACCCAACATTGCCCACAGGTAGAAAACATGATTTATTCATTCAAACCGACAGCATTGCCCTAAGTCAGCGGTAGTATTTATTTTCTATTTTTGCCTGTTGTCAGGAAAACTATTTCTTTATGTCTTTAATTGTATGTTTACAATCGGCATACAAATAGCATCACTCTTTGCAGTTAGAGAAGAGAAGCAAAAGATACCAAAGAGATATTGAAACTCAACATAGATAACTAAGGACTGAGCAACACGAACCCCACTGAAAAACAGTGGGAAGGAGGGCCAAGGGAGGGATAGGGGTGGGGCTGGTAGGAGGTTGGTGGTATGGGGAGGTGATGTCAGAAGCTCAGGAAGGGTAAAGAGAATACAATTAATTAATTCATTTATTTTTGTATACATTTAGATTTTTGTGGGTTTTGTTTTAATTTTAGGCTGCATCCAAGAATGTCAGTGATTCCGTGTCTGGATGGATATTTGGAATTTTTGCTTTAACACAGTTTTTAATATCACCTGTATCTGGTAAATTGGTAAGTTGATATTTAAGGAGATGCTTTTTATTGATTAGGTAGCAAAACAACAACACAATTTATTAAAAGACAACTCAGAGGCAGATTTTGGGGGGAGGGGTGCAGGGCACTAGGGCCCCCTAATTGAGCATTATATACATGTATATATATATATATGATAAAAGCATAGACCTTTTACTTATATTACTCCAAACGTTGGCTTTCTAGGCCTCACCCCTTTCCCACCCTTTTTTTTCAAAATCTATGATCTGCAACTAGAGACCTTAAGTAACATGCAATCTTTAACAATAAACAATTGTCTGTAGATTATATAGAATATAGAAAATGTGGTTTAGTCACATTACTAATATATCAACCCATCAACAAACATCACTGTACAAACTTCTTGAGGTAAAAAAGGTCAACAAATAATATGATAATCTTGCCTAATAGAATATAGTTTAAGGAAGATGGGGGGCCTCAATTAAAATTGATAGAATTCTTTAATAATTTGCCAAAATTTAGTTTTTATATCATATTTTTTTCAAAAATGTTACAAAAAGTATATGGGTAATTAGGATTTTATCAAGCTACAGGTAGTGCAAAATTGTCAGAGTTTATAAAGATTACGATTTTTTTAAAATGTGATAAAAATAAACAACAGAATTTTGAAATAAAAGTTTAGAAGATACTGATATCTTACATACATGATATATGTGCTTTCAGAAATGAAAAAAAATGGGGTCAACGAACTTGTTCCTTACCACAATTAAATTTACAACACAGGCCTTTATAAACTATATATATTAAAGTTAAAATATCTGAGTTATCTCCCCTCATATGGCAAAGTTGAAAAAAATAATCATAACAAAAAATCATCTATAATTGTTAAATCAGTCGTTATAATATATTATATTAAAAGTCTTACAAAAGGATTACATTCCTCTCTTAAAATCAGCATTTTTCATTATGTGTTGTATGAAATATGTTATCATCGTTTTAATGATACTACAGATTTGTTTAGATATTTGTACCTCTGTGTATACATAAAAGGTGATACCAATAACACAAAAAAACAGGTACATCTGGAGAAAAAACTTTAGGACTTCAACAATAGACAAGTGACTTTACCATTTATTTCAGGCTCTACATTCCTCTCCCCCTTTCCTCTTGATCTAAACAAATATCTGAGTCCTGCCTGATGTTTAATTGTGTCCCTCAGTCTCGAATCAGTCACATTGTTAATCATGTTTATTGTTGTCACATCTTATGTTCCATTAAATTTTTGTCATTTTTGGGGATTTGGTGTTCTTTAAAGTCACTGTTGCTGTCTTAGGCCACGGTTAACAAATTCTTTGTTTGATGTTGCCTACCCATACCTTGTAGGGTTGGGTAGATAGTTAGGGATTCAATTTTTTTTTGGCAAACAACTTAAGTTACAAGCTTTAGACAAAGACAACGACATAAGAGATAAACTAGAAAATTGTATTAATATAATTATAATATTTTGATTTTGCCAGGAAAATCAGCTTCTGCAATATATAAACATTAAGATGGTATGTTTACTTTTTTGTCTCTTTATATTTTATATACATTCTAGATGCCATTGATGGGGTTGAAGTTCATGTACATTGGCGGTCTATTTATAGCAGCAGGCTGTACAGTATCATTTGGGTAAGTCACATGGTACAGTTGCCATTGATGGGGTTAACGTTCATGTACAGCAATATACAAGTTGAGGATAAAAGCTGTATTTACACTTGTATGCAAATTTTCCTAATTAAACATGTTAAAAGTGGTTGTTGATTGTTAGGATATATGAAGCAGTTCTTTGTGAGATGCAACCAATTAAATTATTTTTTATTTAAGAAGAAAAAAGACTATTCATGTAATAGAAATAAAACGATGAAAAACATTCATTTTACACTTTAAATTTCAATTCGTGAAAATATGACCACAGGGTTTTGTTTAATATTGATATGTCATCACTTTTTACAAATAGGTCCATTTTAGTAATATGCAATTATTAAGGGGCCGATAGATTCTCTTTTCTTCAGGTAAAAATTAATTTGTCTCAATTATCTTATGCGTCAAAAGGTTATTCTGTGCACATTGACAATATATTGATACCTTATATAATATAAGATAAAGGTAAACTATATTCGGTATAAAAAATCCTTTTGACCTCGTTAAACTAACGTTTACTCCATTTTCTTCATGGTAGGTTTTGATTGACACAATTTGATCAAGAGTTAGGGTACCTCCTTTTTATCGCCATGCTGGAGGTCTCAGAAAATTCCTTCAAAAATCAGTCAAAGTAAACTTGTTATACTGACCGCTAGAATTTAGAAAAAGTGTTTTTCTAAACAATTTTAACTTCCTTTAGCCTTGCTTAATTCATCACTACCATCTAGTTAGGATCTTATTCAGACTTGTTTGGACCACATGTTTCAATTTGGTCAAATAGGAAAATTAACCATTTATTCTTTCCGCCAAAATGGCGGCCAAGGGCAATAACTCAAACTCAGATTACGTCATTCAAAACCTATCTATAATAAGTTTTCGTGATTTCATCAGATTTACAGTCATTATAAGTTTAATCTCACTAAGTAACTCGATCGGGCGAGACTTTGAAGTGAGTGCACTCTTGCATGTAATGAGGTATTCTGTATATTTTTCATTTTCTTTTTCACAGGATTCTAACCTACATAGACACAAGCAGTGAGAACATTACCTTATTTTCTTTTTCACAGGATTCTAACCTACTTATACATTTTCTTTTTCACAGGATTTTAACCTACATAAACATTTTCTTTTTTCACAGGATTCTAACTTCTTAGACATTTTCTTTTTCACAGGATTCTAACCTGCATAGACATTTTCTTTTTCACAGGATTCTAACCTACATAGACATTTTCTTTTTCACAGGATTCTAACCTACATAGACAATTTCTTTTTCATAGGATTCTAACCTACATAGACATTTTCTTTTTCACAGGTTTCTAACCTACATAGACACAAGCAGTGACAACATTACCTTCATTATCTATTGTTTCTTACTGATAATCATCCTAGCTATAGGTTGTTGTGGTCTACAGACAGCAAGCTTTGCTCTCGTTGCCAAAGAATTCCCAGACTCAGTTGCTACTGTTTGTGTAAGTACAAACAGTCTTATTTGACACTTTGTTTTTTTCTTACATATCGGGTACTGTACATATGGAAAAGTGGTTCTAAATGATCCGTTTACTTATTTTAATGATAGTGAAATCATAGTGAAATGAACCATTAACTGTTAAAATTAGATAAATAACATCAATAATATCTAAAATTTCATAATGTTTCTGAATGAAATAAAGTTTCCCAAAGTGTTGTTTCTTGTATTACAATGCAGTTTATACAGTTTATATCTCATTTGATTGAGGCTTTCAAGGAAAACATAGACTTTATACTGTCAACAAAATGTCAAAATGTTTGTAGATTTTACAACTTTGTATGACAGATTCTATTATTTTTCTACCCACCTGGTAGTCTCATGTTTACATGTTCTCCTTAAGTGTGGTAGGTGGTAGGTTCGAATGGGTCAAAACAAAGACTTGGAAATGTGTATTTACTGCTTCCACTATTACCTTGTAAAATAGCATGTTAACAATCTGTATAAGGTTGTCAGTCATATATGTACGAAGGAGGGTATATATTCCTATCACTGTTTCATGCGTTTTGTCCTAAATATGCGTTTATTTTGCCACTTAATGTTAATTTTCATGAACAAGAAGTTTCTTCATAATATAAGTTCCAATTGGAAGAAATATTCTGTAATATTACTTCCACTGGAACGAATATTAAAGTATTTTTCCTGACAGAATAAAGATGATAGAATATTTGTTCAACAGGAACAGATATTATGGCATTGTTTATAATAAAACATTCAAGGGGAACCTCTGTTAGGTAAAACAAATATACGTTGACAAAACAGCCATCCATTGCGATCTATTTTTTGTTACATACAGTTTAGAACTTGATAACCTCTGTCAGAGGTCAAGGTTGTATAAAATATAGTTAGTCCAGAGACCTTTCCAACTCTCTTCCATATAATCTTGAAAAGGGGAGACAACTTTTATTCATGTTAGGTTATTGTCTACTAGTATTTAATATATATATATATATATATATATATATATATATATATATATATATATATATATATATATATATATATATATCTCAAATTTCTTCTCATTTATTTGATCAGAAACATTCAAGTGAGTTTTGACTACTACATTTTAGCAATGCTTTAAAGATGAAACATCTTTCCCTTAAAGCTTAAATGTAGCATGGCATAAACAGTAACAGTACATGATTATAGCTTTTAGCATGCCAGAAACATTAAGTACTACTGTGGAGCACTTATTATTTAAGGAATATTAATTTTCATGGATTTTAGGGGAATGCTGAAGGTGAATTCAAGACTCCAAAAAATAGAAGTTTTGTGTAGTTTTGCCCGCGTATTTGTTATAACCATGAAAACAGTATCCATTCATGTACATTTTTCCCTTAATCCCCAAAAATGTGTATCCTAGAATTAGGCATGAAACATGAATCCACAGCTCACTAAATTGAACAGTAGTGTAAAATGAGGGATGTTGTACTGTGAAAAACCTGACAACTTACATCTAGAAATTTACAACGAGGGTTGGTTGAGAACAAAACTGTATGACAAAAGGTATGAATTCAGATTCTCAATATTGAACTTTCCATTTCTATGAAGCAACATTCCAGCAGCTCCTGCATATAGTTTATATATTTCCCAGTTGATACAATATTTGAGAGCTTGCATTTAGTATCATGATTTAAATATATATAGGTTGCTGCTTACACAGAAGCTATTAAACCAAGAGTTCCAAGTGATGAAGTTAAAAAAATCACTTTCGAATTTTACTAACACCATCACGAGTTGGTTAATGGTTATGGACTATTTGTTCCACAGATGACGACGGATATGTTCCAATTGTCATAACCACAACATCGTCCTCTTTTCCTCAAACTACGGAATTAGATTTATCACCAGGTTTGTACTTACATGAAAAACACTTCGTGTGCCACATTTGGAGCAGGATCTGCTAAACCTTCAAGAGAACTTGAGATCACCCCCGGTTGTTAGGTTGGTTTGTGTATTTTGTTCTTTTGTTATCAATGTTGTGTTTTGTAGACTGTTGTTTGTCTTTTGGTCCTTTTTCGGTTTTTGCAATGGCATTAATTGGCCAATTTGTTTTTCAACTTAGGGGTGTAAATATTTCTTTGGTATGAATCCACCTCTATTTTTGTTTTCTCTTAATCGATTTATGACTTTTGAACAGCGGTATACTACTGTTGCTTTAACTTGACCTTTTAATTAAGCAAATAAGCAATGTTAGTGTACCAGTGTTACTGTTCCTCAATTTCAGATATTACACTATTTATTTCTTGCTAGCAGCATGTGTGTATGTTCTTCAAATTGTTGAATGTATATACGAATAAATTTTTGCATTCTTCTCAGCAACTACAATTTATAGCTTCTATATTATTGGTACTTAGTGTAATATAGGAAGCTAATGCCTGTGCATTTATACTTTCTGTTATCTGCATCAACATGCACAGTGTTTGGTAAACTATCTTTTTTTATGTTATTAACTCAATAATACATGTATATAGTACATAAAATACACATTCAGAAAAGAAAAAAGAAAACATCTTATACCAATTATAAAAGATAATATATACTATACGATAAACGAAATCCTAAACAATACCATATACTATTCCATAATCGAAAAGCTGAGTGATACAATTTACCAATCGATAAAGAATGATATACGAGTGCTGTACAAATGATGTACATGTAATGCCCTAACCCCATTAGATTTATCCCCAAACACTGTGCACAATTCCCGAATGAAGAAAGTGTTAACTTTTACCTTACAGAGAATGTACCCAGCATTCACTAAAAAATGGGGGTTATTAACATACAGTGTATGTGCTGTATTATTGTGTTAACTGATTTAAAGACTGTGTGCTGTATTATTGTACTAACTGAATTAGATTTTGTATGTTGTATCATAATATTTACTAATTTGGTATAAACATCTATTCTAGGGTATAACAGAGGTATTTGTTGGAGTTGGTTTCATGTCTGGTCCTGCTATAGGAGGCTTTCTGTATGGTGTAAGTTTTTTTTTCTACTTTTTGTCAAATAACTGTAAAACTGTAGATTTTTAATGAGCACTAATTTTCACTATTTTCTTCATTCAGATTGAAAAGTTACACATGATTTAATTAAAACATATGAAAGAATACTCATACATTATAAAATTGAAATTAAGGTGATGTGGTATGATTGACAACTATCCATCAAAGACACAATGACCTTGCATTAAGTGAGCAAGTGTAGGTCACTGTCAGGCCTTCAAAAATGAGCCAAACCCATACTGTATGGTAAGATATTAAACGACCCAAGCTTGACAAAAAGAAAAACAATACAAACGAGAAAACCAATAGTCTGATTAAGGATACAATTATAAACAAAGAACAAATATGAAAGGAAAGTGCATGTACATAAATTTTTACAAAACATATTTAGTAATGTTTCAATTTCATAATATCAAAATAAAGAAATATGTAAGTTCAAAAAAAGACAAACAGCAATGAACAACACATAATCTGTGAAAGCCTGACTTGATGGAGTCACCAACTGTGGGGCGAAAGAGTTCTACCTGCACACAAGCCTTTCCCTATCTGTTTAGACCTCTTTTAGCTAAAACACCTTCCTTCAACTAATAGAATAATTAAAGCAAGTAAAGTTTTAAGTCATAAGAATATCCTAATCCAGACTGCCTGTGATTTTTACCATTATTATTTATCCATACGTTTACAATTGATTCATAGAAACAACTATATATATTTTGTCTTGATTTTGTTGATTATACTATGGACTACGTAATAACTGTAATTAAAGCATATAATATTGCTACATGTATTTTTTGCATGCCAAAATACACATTATAAAAAAAAAAAAAAAAAAAAAAATACACCCGACAAAACTTGAATAATGCAGTTCCCTCTCGTATAGTTGTCAGCTTGTCATTTTCAATTGAAATTTACCCATTTTCAGTCTCCAGTGATCAGGTTAAGTTTTCAGAATATCATTGCAACAATATCTTATATATGGATTTGTTGTAAAGAGTAGTTGTATGTTTGGCGCTTGTCATGTCGTATTAACCTCAATTTCCTGATTTAGTGGTCAGAATAACATTTAGGGAGGAGGTTTGTTCCTCAGAAACTATACTTGAAAGGTCATCTTTGGAGTTTGCTGTCAAGTGACATTAACCTTAAATCATTTGATCACCTTATCTGAGTTCATTGTCTTTAAAAAACAAAGTTTTACAAGATATTATAATTTTTCAACTACGTTTTTTAATTTGCATCAGTATAAATGGTAAATGCAATGATAAGTCAGATTATGCTGTATGAAAATCCTTAAATAACGTTCTAACTCTTAGTCATACACTAGTCAAAATCATATTTATATTTAGATGCATTAAGCTCTCTCCTCTGAACTATCTCTAGGGGAGGTAATTTGGTTGTCACTATATTTATCTATTTCTTAATGGATTTTTTAGAATTTTTTGAATACTGTGGATTCATTTATTTTCGTGGCTACTAATACTCGTGGATTGAGGAGAACTTGTTTCTTGTGGATATTTGATTTCGTGGCCCTGCCAGAGTCTGCATTTAACCTTATAGAGAATTTGTATTTCATTGAACACTTAATTTCCTGGTTCACCTGTACCAATAATCTCCACAGAAATTGGTATTCAACGAAATATAATGAATCAACAGTACATGGTTGCCCTTATCATTTATGATTCTTTTGAAAACGTGGTTGCCCTTATTATTTTTTATTCTTTTTTTGAGAACATGGTTGCCTTTCTCTGCCATTTATGTTTTTTTTTTCAGAGTGGAGGTTTCATCATGCCTTTTGCTGTAGTTGGTGCTATCATGTTCCTTTGTGTCCCATTTAATTTTTGGTTGATTCCCGGAGATACAGGTAAGAGCTATGAACAGATACATTGTGTTTTTTTTTTTGTCATAGATACAGGCTACAGCTTTTAACTGATACATTGTGTTTGTCATAGATACAGGTAAGAACTATTAACTGATACATTGTTTGTCATAGATACAGGTAAGAGCTATGCACATATACATTGTTTGTCATAGATACAGGTAAGAACTATAAACTGATACATTGTTTGTCATAGATACAGGTAAGAGCTATGAACAAATACATTGTTTGTCATAAATACAGGTAAGAGCTTTGAACTGATACATTGTTTGACATAGATACAGGTAAGAACTTAGAACTGATACATTGTTTGAAATAGATACAGATAGGAGGTATGAACTGATACATTGTTTGTCATAGATACAGGTAGGAACTATAAACTGATACATTGTTTGTCATAGATACAAGTAAGAATTATAAACTGATACATTGTTTGTCATAGATACAGGTAAGAGCTATGAACAGATACATTGTTTGTCATAAATACAGGTAAGAGGTATGAATTGATACATTCTTTGTCATAGATAAAGTTAAGGGCTATGTACAGATTCATTGTTTGTTATAGATACAGGTTAGAAATATGAACAGATACATTGTTTGTTATAGTTAGAGGTAAGAGCTTAGAACATACACATTGTTTGTTAAAGATACATGTAAGAGGTATCTACTGATACATTGTTTGTCATAGATACAGGTAAGAGCTATAATCAGATTCATTGTTTGTCATAAACACAGTTAAGCGGTATGAACTGATACATTGTTTGTCATAGATACAGGTTAGAGCTTTGAACTGATACATTGTTTATCATATATACAGGTAGGAGCTTTTAACAGATTCATTGTTTGTCATACATACAGGTAAGAGCTGTGAAGAGATACATTGTTTGTCATAGATACAGGTTAGAGATATGAATTAATACACTGTTTGTCATAGATACAGGTAAGAGCTATGAACTGACACATTGTTTGTCATAGACAAAGTTTAGAGCTATGAACTGTTTCCTTATTTGTCATAGATACAGGTAAGAGGTATGAACTGATACACTGTTTGTCATGGATTCAGGTAAGAGGTATGAACTGATACATTGTTTGTCATAGATACAGGTAAGACATATGAACTGATACATAGTTTGTCATAGACACAGGTAAGAAAGATGAACTGATACATTGTTTGTCATAGATACAGGTAAGAACTATGAACTGATACATTAATTGTCATAGACACAGGTAAGAACTATGAACAGACACATTGTTTGTCATAGACACATATAAGAGCTATGAACAGATACATTGTTTGTCTTAGATACAGGTAAGCGCTATGAACTGACACATTGTTTGTCATAGATACAGGTAAGAGCTATTAACTGATACATTGTGTGTCATAGATACAGATTAGAGCTATGAACCGATACATTATTTGTCATAGATACAGGTAAGAACTATGAACAGATACAATGTTTGTCATAGAAACAGTTACGAACTATGAACTGCTAGATTGTTTGTCATAGACACAGGTAAGAGCGATGAACTGATACATTGTTTGTGATAGATACAGGTAAAAGCTATGAGCTGACACGTTGTTTTTCATAGATACAGGTAAGAGCTATGAACTGGTACATTGTGTGCCAAAGATACAGATAAAAGGTGTGAACTGATACATTGTTTGTCATAGATACAGGTAAGAGCTATACACTTTTACATTGTTTGTCATAGATACAGGTAAGAACTATGAACAGGTACATTGTTTGTCATAGATACAGATAAAAGCTATGAACAGATACATTGTTTGTCAGAGATACAGATAAGAGCTATGAACTGATACATTGTGTGTCATAGATACAGGTAAGAGCCATGATCTGATACATTGTCTGTCATAGACACAGGGAAGAGCTATGAACTGATACATTGTTTGTTATAGATACAGATAAGAGCTATGAACTGATACATTATTTGTCATAAACACAGGTAAGAGTTATGAACAGATACATTGTTTGTTATAGATACAGGTACGAACTATGAATTGATATATTGTTTGTCATAGATACAGGTAAGCGCTATGAACTGATATATTGTTTGGCATAGACACAGGTAAGAGCTATGAACAGATGCATTGTTTGTCATAGATACAGGTAAGAGCTATGAACTGACACATTGTTTGTCATAGATACAGGTAAGAGCTATGAACAGATACATTGTTTGTCATAGATACAGGTAAGAGCTATGAGCTGACACATTGTTTTTCATAGATACAGGTAAGAGGTATGAACTGATACATTGTGTGCCAAATATACAGATAAAAGCTGTGAACTGATATATTGTTTGTCATAGATATAGGTAAGAGCTATGAACTTTTACATTGTTTGTCATAGATACAGGTAAGAACTATGAACTTTTACATTGTTTGTCATAGATACAGGTAAGAACTATGAACAGATACTTTGTTTGTCATAGAAACAGATAAGAGGTATGAACAGATACATTGTTTGTCAGAGATACAGATAAGAGCTATGAACTGATACATTGTGTGTCATAGATACAGGTAAGAGCTATGAACAGATACATTGTTTGTCATAGATACAGGTAAGAGCTTTGAACTGATACATTGTTTGTCAGAAATACAGATAAGAACTATAAACAAATAGATTGTTTGTCATAGATACAGGTAAGAGCTTTGAGCTGCGAAATTGTTTGTCGTAGATACAGGTAAAAGGTATGAACTGATACATTGTTTGTCATAGAAACAGGTAAGAGCTATGAACAGATACATTATTTGTCATAGATACAGGTAAGAGCTTTGAACTGATACATTGTTTGTAGTAGACACAGATAAGAGGTATGAACTGATAAGTGTTTGTCATAGATACAGATAAGAGCTATGAACTGATACATTGTTTGTCATAGATTCAGGAAATTGCTATGAACTGATATATTGTTTGTCATAGATACATGAAAGAGCTATGAACTGATACATTGTTGCAAAAGATACAGGTAAGAGCTATGAACTGATACATTGTTTGTCATAGATACATGAAAGAGCTATGAACTGATATAATGTTTGTAAAAGATACAAGTAAGAAGTATAAACAAAGTAAAACAACAAAAATACCGAACTCCAAGAAAAATTCAAATCAAGTCCCTTATCAAATTGAAAATCAAAAGCTCAAACACATCAAACGACTGGAAAACAACTGTCATATTCCTGATTTGGTACAGGCAATTCCTTATGTAGAAAATGGTGGATTAAAACCTGGTTTTATAGCTTGCTAAACCTCTCACTTGTATGACAGTCGCATATAATTCCATTATATTGACAACAATGTGTGAACAAAACAAACAGACATAATACTGTTTTACTGTGCGTATTGCTGTGTGTTTGTTTATTCTACATTGGCTAGATGTATAGGGGGAGGGTTGAGATCTCACAAAACATATTTAACCCTGCCGCATTTTTTCGCCTGTCCTACGCCAGGAGCCTCTGGCCTTTGTTAGTCTTGTATGTATTTTAATTTTAGTTCATTTTTATATGTTTTGGAGTTTAGTATGGCGTCCATTTTCACTGAACTAGAACACTTTTTAATTTAGGAACCAGCTGAAGCCCGCCTTCGGGTGCGGGATTTTCTCGCTATGTTGAAGACCCATTGGTGGCCTTCGGCTGTTATCTGCTCTTTGGTCGGGTGTTGTCTCTTTGAATAGATTACCTTAGCTGTATTTGGCAAAACTTTTAGGAATTTTTGGATCTCAATGCTCTTAAACTTCGTACTTTATTTGGCCTTTTAATTTTTTTTTTATTCGAGCGTCACTGATGAGTCTTTTGTAGACGAAACGCGCGTCTGGCGCAAATACAAATTTTAATCCTGGTATCTATGATGAGTTTATTTGACATATTCCCCATTTCCATTCTCAATTTTATAAAGGTAAACATGTCAAAAATAGGGGTACAGCAGTCAACATTGTCTTATAATCTTCATCAATATAAAAACAAACAAATTTGTCAACAAAGAAAAACAAAATGGCATCTAGACAAAGCACATAAGCAAAAACAAAAGACAAGAATACAAAAAAATTACCACAACACACATTGGGCAGGATGCATAAGTACCGAGATAAGAAGTTTGAACTGATACACTGTTTGTCAGTTCAACTGTTAATTGCATTGTTATGGTCCATATTGTTCCATTCTTTATTTTTTTAGCCCTTTATTCGGCTTCTTTTTCCTAATTGCCCTGTTCCATAAACCCCATCCAGACCCTCACCTAACTCGCAATCTCACATTCAAACTGAACACATTTCCATGAGACCACCTAGGTGTTTGTACATCAAAGAGATAATTTTAAGAGTTTGTATGTAGCAGTAAATCTACGAATATGTATTATTTGCAGTTGTTGAAAAATCTTCCAGTTCTAAGATCTCATTCTGGGTGATGATGAAGTCCCCCAAGACTATCATTAACAGTTTCTCAACATTAGTGGCTGCCATGATTTTTTCCATTCTCGACCCAACACTAGAACCACATCTGAGTGGCTCTGTAAGTTTTGTCATTATTAATTTCAGCCTTTGTCATCATTTTGTGTCTCTCATCTGGTGTGTATCATCCCTTTGAAATCACAATTTCTTTTTTTTCTTTTTTTATATACTACTCAAAGAAAATGTTACAACACTTCCATTGAGATTAATGGGGTCAAACTTTAAGGGCTCATATTTTTGTAGATAATGCTAAAAATGATCTGAAATTAAATGCATTTCTGTTTTATGGGATCTAAATTGATGGAATTAAAAAAAAATGATATGACTTTTGGGGGTAAATGAAGTTCCTCATTTTTATTGTGAGGGAAATGCCATCAGATTCAATACTTCTTCAATTTTGTGTGCTGTATGCATTTTTTTTTAAATAGAACACATGCAATAAAATTTTATTATTGTGATTGTAATTTTGATTTAGCCCTTCAAAGTTTTAAAACAATGTAGCTGTCTGACATTTGACCAACATAACTATAGAACTTGCTGCTTATCTTTTTTTGAGTATACGACTTTATAAAAATAACAAATGATATCTAACTATAAATATGGAGATTTTTTGGAATAATTTTTATCTGTTTGCTCGAACAGAAAAAAAAGTTAAAGCCAAAGATGTATGTGTTCTTGAACAAGTCGAAAACGGTGGAGCTTTAGGACCAAAAGGGACATAAGAGTGAAAGCCAAATCAATCTAGGAAATTACAAGAATATGAAAGTTCAAATTTGCCATTATTACTGAATTATCTTTCTATGAGTTACTGCTTTTGAATGAACATTTTTAAAAATTTTAATCATTTTGTCAATTATCTTGAAAGCTATAATAGCTTGACAGAAACTTATACATTTTTCGTTTTCCATTTGTACATTTTATATCTTTATTAAATGCCACCATATATATATAAAAAAAAAAAAAGAGTAGACATTAAATGAAATATAATATCACTATCAAAATTCATTTATTATTGGAAAGTTAAAATGATAAGCATCAGTTTTCAATTGCGATTGTTTATAAAAACTCAACACATAATTTTGTCATTGGGTAAGGTTGTTTGTTTTTCAATCAGAACTATTGTCAAAATTGTATATTTCAGTTCAATTTAGAAGCTGATATCATTGGTCTTCTATTTTTGCTGATGGCTGCATGTTATGCCATTATGTCACCTATAGCTGGATGGATTTGTGATAAATTGGTAGGTATGTTATGTCATTGTGTCATATAAAGCTAGATATATCTGTGATAAATAGGTAGGTATGTTATGTCATTATGTCGCCTATAGCTGGATTAATTTACTATACATTGGTAGGTATTTTGTGTCATTATGTCATCTATAGCTGGTTGGATCTGTGATAAATTGGTAGGTATGTTAGTCAGTATGTCAACTATAGCTGAATGGATCTATGATAAATTGGTAGATAAATTATGTCATACATGTCATCTATAGCTTGATTGATATGTGATAAATTGGTAGGTATGTTATGTTATTATGTCATCTAAAGCTGAATGGATCTATGATAAATTGGTAGTTATGTTATGTCATTATTTCACATCAAGCTGATTGGATCAATGATACATTGGTAGGTATGTTAGTCATTATGTCACCTATAGCTGGATAGATATTCGATAAATTGGTGGGTATTTTATGCTATTATGTCATCATATTGGAAGTAATGTTATGCCATTATGTCAGCTATAGTTGATTGATCTCTGATAACTTGGTAGGTATATTATGTCATTATGTCATATATAGCTGGATTGATGGATTTCTGATAAATTGGTTGGTATGTTACATGTATGTTATTATGTCACCTATAGCTAGATTGATACATGATAAATTGGAAGTAATGTTGTTCATTATGTCACCTATATTTGAAAGGATCTATTGATAATTGGTCGGTATGTTATGTCAAACATGTCACCTATAGCTGGATTCATCTATGATAAATCGGTAGGGATGTTGTGTCAATATTTCATCTATATCTGGATGGATAAGTGAAAAATCGGGAGGTATGTTATGTCATTATGTCACAAATAACTTGATAGTTCTTTGACATGTTCGATGATTATCTGTTTCTTAATAAATAGAATATTGATTTTTATAAAAAAAAAATGAAAAGTGATCAATTAATGAACAAAGGTAACAGATAGATTATTTTAACTGGGACACATTTTGTTTATGAACTTTTACAACCTGGTAGTTGTGTGGTATTTAGTCTCTAGTCTTTATACTGATACCCTGTTTTGAATTTAAGTTTCAGTCAAATAACCTAGGAGTACTGATGCCAGGTTTTATACTGATACCCTGTTTTGACTTCTTTTCAGTCAGATACCCATGGAGTATTGATACCAGTCTTTATACTGATACCCTACCTGTTTTGTCTTTTCCTTTCAGCCAGATAACCGTGGAGTATTGATACCAGGTTTTTTTATTTCTGCTGTTGGTATGCTGTTCCTCGGTCCTTCAGAAATTTTTGGACTTAGAGATTTATTAGATGAGTGAGTTGATTTGTTATTGTTTGTCAGGATTGCATGTTTTATAGTTATGAATCATCTAAAAAAAATCGTAAGAATCCTGAGAATATCATCAGAACAGAGAGTAGCTAGAGCAAATCGTTGTCAGATCCTAATTAGTAAAGCTTGGGTTCAGGACTTAAATTTCATCAACTTGTACAAACCCTGACGTTAAAATACACAGTATGGACAGAATACTTAATATTACAGTAACTCCTTGTTTTATGAAATGTCTTGTATAGATATAAGAAGATGTGGTATGAGTGGCAATGAGACAACTCTCCATCCAAGTCACAATTTGTAAAAGTGAACCATTATTTGAATGTATGATAATGCTGCATCAAATGATCATGAAATTCCACATTTACAAAAATAGTAACCTCACTTGCAATTTAGAAAAATTATTAAAATTGATCTTACGTTTTGCAGTTGTAATGAAAAAATAAAACAAAAAATACAAAAGAAAGTGTCATCAAAATTTTAACAAGACTTAATATATAATAAATATTTGTATATAATAGACAGCTGTGTTGCACATTGTGTCCTAGATTATTCTTTTTAAACGACCGCAAAAAAATTTTGCGGTCGTATATTGGTATCACGTTGGCGTCGTCGTCGTCGTCGTCGTCGTCGTCGTCGTCGTCGTCGTCCGAAGACACATTGGTTTTCGCACTCTAACTTTAGTTTAAGTGAATGGGGCCAAAAAGGGGCCAAAAATAAGGATTTTTTGTAACTTCCAGTCATAACTTGTGTGTTAGTGTATGGATCTCTCTGACATTGTACCACACAGTTCCATATCACAAACGGAATGCTGGGATTAATTTTGGAGGTAATTGCCTCAAAATTTTAGAAATTAGGGGCGAAAAAAGGGACAAAAAACAAGCATTTTTCTAGTTTCATGACAATAACTTGTGAGTGAGTGTATGGATCTTTCTGAAATTGTACTACAAGGTTTCATATCACAAAGGAAAAGCTGGAATTGCGTTTGGGGGTAATTGCCAAAAACGTTTAGGAATAAGGGGCCAAAAAGGGGCCAAAAATAAGCATTTTTCTAGTTGTCAGACAATAACTTGTGTTCAAGTGTATGGATCTCTCTGAAATCGTACTGCAAGGTACCATACCACAAAGGGAAGGCTGTGATTGATTTTGGGGGTAATTGCCTCAAAATTTAAGGAATTAGGGGCAAAAAAGGGGCAAAAAACAAGCATTTTTCTAGTTTCAGGACAATTACTTGTGTGTAAGTGTATGGATCTTTATGAAATTGTACTACAAGGTTCGATATTACAAAGGGAAAGCTGGGTTTGAGTTTGGGGGTCATTGCCCTAAACGTTTAGGAATTTGGGGCCATAAAGGGGCCTAAAAAACAAGCATTTTTCTAGTTTCCGGACAATAACTTGTGTTCAAGTATCTCTCTGAAATTGTACTGGGGGTGATGAATCATAAGGCGGTTTAAATAATTTAGTGGGAGGGATTTTTTTTTTCCCTTTTTTACCTTAAAATTTTTAATTGGTTATTTCTGATTTATATATAAAAGGAAATAATAATGATATGGTTTGAATAGGTAAATTAAACATTTTTAAGTTCTTAGACCACATTCATTCTGTGTCAGAAACCTATGCTGTGTCAAATATTAAATCACAATCAAAATTCAGTGCTGTATCAAGCTTGAATGTTGTGTCCATACTTGCCCAAACTGTTCAGGGTTCGAATTATGCGGTCGTACAAGCAGGGTGCATTTTATTGGTTCTAGTGTTGCATTATTTCTTAATTTATATTTTGTAGCCAGCTATTGTTAAACATTGTATCTTTCATTGTACTTGGTATTCGATCCAATGCAGCATTAATTTTAACATTTTATTTTGTAGCCAGCTATGGTTAAACATAGCATCCCTCATTGTACTTGGTATTGGATCCAATGTAGCATTAATTTTAACATTTTATTTTGTAGCCAGCTATGGTTAAACATTGTATCCCTCATTGTATCTGGTATTGGATCCAGTTTAGCACTGGTACCAACATTTGATATTTATGTTAGCATAGCAGAGTAAGTAATTAACTGTAGGAGAGAATGAATATATCAACATAGTTAATATATTTAAAGGTTTATTTATTACTTGCAATAGTACTTTCAATTAAGACAACACTAACCGATTGGATACGAAAATCTCATGATTTGATTACGAAGATTAATCAAGGTAACTAACAAAACTGGAGGAATCACATGTACTCCAAGAGAAGAGACATGGGTGTGTTGACGATGTAAGCATCTCCTGATATGCATTTATCACCCGCCAAATCAACATTCAGTCAAAATGTCACAATAGGGTCATAACACAACTACAAATTTGACGTCCATTAATAAAAAAAACTCCAGGAGAAGTTTATGTGCAAATAGCTTTAGACTAGCTTTCAGTAACTGTGAGTACTATTTAATTGGTACTTTGTGCCTTTTGTCTTTTACTTCATTTTTTGTGCTTCTTTTCAACCTGTTGAGTCAAACCTTTTCGAACTGACTGATGGTAGGTTGTTTTTTTCCAGGTTTGGTAGAATACTGAACGTTTACAAAAATGTTAGATCCTTTTGTATTTGCCTATAACAAGTCTGGAGCCTGTAAACCAGAGGTTGTGTTTGGTTCTGTCTGTCATAATAGTTGTTGGTTTATTTTGTTTTAGCATAAATTAGGACTTTCAGGTTTACTGTTTTGAATTGTTTCATATTTTGTCATATACGGTATGGGTTTTGCTCGTTCCTTTCTCATTTTTAATTTATGTTTCCTGATACTTTAAATTTCTTTTCAAATTGTTAAATAAATAGAAATATTTTGTCCCACTTTTCTCAAAATCTACTAAGCAGAATAGATTCATGTTTGGTCAGTAGTCAAACAGTTATCTATTGTAATTTGTTAGCGCTTTTGGACACCTACTAACGGTTTTTGACACTTTGCATTATGCATCGATATAGCTTAGCAAGACAACGTGTGCATTGTTGTATCTTATATTGAAATAACAATGATTGCACTCATATTTACAATCCAACATGCAATACTAATTGGAGCTTCAGCAAAAAGTAAAAAAACAAAAATACCGAACTCCGAGGAAAATTCAAAACGGAAAGTTCCTAATCAAATGGCAAAATTAAAAAGCTAAAACACATCACAACGAATGGATGACAACTGTCACATGTTTGACTTGGTACAGGCATTTTTTATGTAGAAAATGGTGGATTAAACATGGTTTTATCGCTAATTAAACCTTTCACTTGTTTGTACAGTCGCATAAAATTCCAGCAACATTCAGACCCCCACTTAATCTCCTACCATCACAAGAATAAACTGTTTTTCAACTGAATAACATTGTAACAATTCCAATTTGTTTTGGTTTTGTCCCAACACCTTTGAAATCCAGGGTAAAGGCAAAAACAATATGTGTTGTAAAACAACATATATGTTAGTACATTATTATTTTGGTGTACTATTTTTATCCGGATTTTCGAAGGAAATATCGGTTATTAAATGTTGATGTACGGCGGGCGGCTGCCAAACAGTGTCAGCACAATAACATGAAAACGCTTTAACAAATTTTTTTCAAATTTAAATATGTTGTTTCCTGGGACTTAATGAAGGTATAGTTCAATTTTCAAGATATTAGTATATCTCCTTTGTGAGTTATCGCCATTTTAAATATCCAAAAGTGGAATTTTAAAATATTTTACTATTGTTATCTTTTTTATGACTAAGCATAATGTCTTATCTCACAATAAAAATTGGAGTGACAGATTTATTTGAAAATTATCTATTTCATAAGTGGTAATGATTATAAGCTATGTCATTAGACATTTTGAAGTTAATTACGTTATTAATTATTAATTAGATCTGGGTTATATCTTAGCATATACTATCATTGGAGTGACAGATTTATTTGAAAATTTTCTGTTTCCTGATAAGATCTGTAGGACTGTATATATAAAGTTTGAAATTTACAAGTAGGACTGTATAAATGAAATTTGAAATTTACTGTTCATAATTAGACATTTTGTAGATAATTAAGTCTCCCTAAACCATATATATATTCTTACCCCACCCCCCTTTCAATTTGAGAATGTGCTTTTATCTTGTAAACGGTTGAGATTCCCACCCCTAAACCATATATATTCTTGTATGGGACAATAAAACAAATCAAACGAGTCCCCGGGTTCACCCCCCCCCCCCCCCCCCCTACATTTTGAAAACTTGTAAACAGTCAAGATTCCAACCCTGAAACCATATATTTTCTTGTATGTGACAACAAAACAAATCAAATGAAATAAAATGCGAGTCCCCTTGGGTCACCCCACCCCCTCCTGTTTGAGAACTTGTAAACGGTCGAGATCCCCGCCCCTAAACCATAAATATTCTTGTACGGGACAATAACACAAATCAAATGAAATATAGGGGAAGTCCATGGGGGTCACCCCACCTCCATTCTTTTTGAAAACTTGTAAACGGTCAAGATCTCCACCCCTAAACCGTATAAAAACCTGGTCGTAATTTCAAGAAGATTTGAATGACATACAGGGTCAATCCATAGGCGTCACTAATGCATATCATAAACCAATTTGTACTGGACATTGCCCAATGTCAAGCGAAAATGGGAATGACGAATTATTGGAGCTTTTTTTGGGAGACTTCGTAACAGCATTCTGTTACAATTATTTCTTGTTACTGATAAGTTTTATAGGTTTTGAAATGACCTTGTATTAATGATAAATAAAATTTTGGATTTTTTTCTTCTCTTCTTTGGTAAATTGTTTGTAGAATGTTGTGGCAAGTTTGTTTGTTGTTCTGTAAAAAATAATTTTCTGAATTCTATATATATTTTTATTTTTGATGAAGTAAACTCCTTTAAAAACTAAGCTTATATTGTCTTTTATTAAACATATATTTAGATTTCTGATTTTGGGCCTAGTTTTCAAGTTGGTCCAAATTGAGGTCCAAAATTAAACTGTGTTTGATTTCAACATAAATTGAATATATATAGGGTTCTTTGAAACGCTTAATCTAAACTTGTATTTCTTTTCATTATTGATAAGATAATACCACACTAAGGTCCAAAGGGTCCTAAATTACTCTTTTGATTAATTTCATCAAAAATTGAATTCTTTGGTTCTTTATTATGCTGATTCTAGCAATGTTTGAGTGTTAAATAATTTCTAATTTTAGAGAACTTAGTCATCACTGGTTGTTGTTATTATATTATTGATTATAATATGAAAAATTGCATCATATCTTATTTTAGAGAACTATTTATCCAGTTTGAGTTATTTCCCTTTGCACAGAAAATATTATGGATAAAATTAACCTGTGTTTCATTTCAACATAAATTAAATATATATAGGGTTCTTTCAAATGCTGAATCTAAACCTGTATTTAAATATTAGATTTTTGGGCCCAGTTTTCAAGTTGGTCCAAATCAAGGTCCAAAATTAAACTTTGTTTGATTCAACAAAAAAATTATTTATGGGGTTCTTTGAAATGCTGAATCTAACCATGTATTGAGAGATTTTGGATTGTGGGCTCCTTTATCAAATTGGTCCCCATTGAGGTTCAAAGGGTCTTAAATTAAACTTTTGTTTGATTTCATCAAAAATTGAATTCTTGGGGTTCTTTGATATGCTGATTCTAATATGTACTTAGATTTTTGATACTGGACCATAATAGGTATTTAAATGTCCAATTTCAAGTATTTCAGTTCTTAAACCACATTCATTTTGTGTCACAAACCTATGCTGTGTCAAATATTCAATCACAATCCAAATTCAGAGCTGTTTTAAGCTTAAATGTAGTGTCTATACTTGCTCAACTGTTTAGGGTTCGACCTCTGCAGGAAAATCCGGTTTGCTGTCACTCTGACAGCCTCTTGTTTATGGTCATCTAATGTTTCCTTATAAAAGTTTACATTTTTGAAAATAAGTCTTTGCTGAAGCAAGGATAGTTATTCTGATTTATAAGGCAAATCAAAATTAAAATTATAATATTTGAGGTAGCATATATGTAGCTATAATGTGTAACAATACCATATGTGATACTGGTTTACTTTGGGGAACTAGCAGCTGCGAATGTAATTACAAAATACATAAGTACAGGTGGAATATTTTTTTCAGAGAGCTAGGATTCGATGATGATTTAGGAATGTATGGTATTGTAGCAGGTCTGTGGGGATCATTTTATGCTTTAGGGTAAGTCATATGCTAGTTATCACTAAACACCCTTGAAATATGTATAGGTTGAATAGGATTACAATTATAAATTTTGCATGCTTATTCTATTATGATTTCCTTATGTTACTGACATTCTTTCTTCCATCACACACGTTGCATTCAAATTTGTGTAATTCATAGTTTTTTTTACCCAAGAGATAAAGGATATTTTACACTCCTTTTTGCAAATAACACATGTGGATAACAAAGTGAACTGTAAGCAATGTTAAAATTACAGGAAACAACAAATGTCAATGAAAAATTCCATTCATACATTCCCACCTGTAACCTATCGTTGAAATGGTAATGTTAATGTTTGATTGTGATGACAGAAGGCAGGTAATGTAGTGAAAATACCACTCCTATCAGTTACCTAGTTCTGATCTTTCGAAATAGCATTATAAATGCCTTAATGTCATGAATGTCATGACTAAAGGCAAAGAATGTAGTGAAAAATACCACTTTTAACTGAAACCTTATTCTGATCTGTTGACATAGCCATGTCCAAGCCTTTATGTGATTATAGATGGCATAAAATGTAATGAACAATACCACTCTTACCAAAAACTTAATTCTGATTGATGGCATAGCCATGTTCAAGCCTCTACATGTCTATGTGATCACAGAGAGCACAACATGTATTCAATACCACTGCTAAAAACTAAATTCTCATTAGTTGAAATAGCAATGTTGATGCATTTTTGCCATGACATTGGGCAAAGAATGTAGCTATATAGTGAAAATATACCACTCATACACGAAACTTATTTTGATTAGTCTTATCAATTAATTTTCATTGTTAAAAGGCCTCTTAAGGACTAATATTATATGGGATGTATTATTACAGTATGTTATACATGTTATAAGTTAAGGAATTTTTTCGGACCATCACATTGTAGTGCATCATATATCATTATCATTACAGAGATTTTCTGGGACCAACGATTGGTGGTACATTGCTAGATATATATGGTTTTCCATTTTGTTGTACTATAACAGCAGGAGCATGTTTATTTATGGTGAGCTATTCTAAATTTATGCTTTCTTGAAAATTATGTCACAAAATAACAACATACAGGACACCTGTCCTTTTTTAACAGAATTAAGGACCAGGTATCTTCTTCCTTCTATCATGGATTTTAGATTACATTTAACAAAACGATCGGACGGGGTTGGCATACTTTTCCTCAGACTGAAAACCTGAAGTAGGGGTTATTCTGGATTGGGCATTACATTCTTAAATGGATAATACGAGCAATACTGGATAATACGATTGTAAATATAAACATGTGGAGTTTTTGTATGATTGCCAATAATAAAAATATCCACAAAAGTCATAATGATGTGGATCTTAGAAGCTATAGATAGAAATTGGCCTATAACGTGTAGTAACATTTAAAAGGCTCTGACAAGACAAAACAAGACAACCAACAGCCTGTTTTATGCTTATACATTAATTAAAAAAAAAATATAACAGAAAAATTGACATGCAACAACTTAACATTTACCTGAGTTGATCATTGTTCTCCATGGAATTGATGTAACACAACATGTAGTTAGTTTTCCATGGAACTGATGTTACACAACATGTAGTTAGTTTTCCATGGAATTGATGTTACACAACATGTAGTTAGTTTTCCATGGAATTGATGTGACACAACATGTAGTTAGTTTTCCATGGAATTGATGTTACACAACATGTAGTTAGTTCTCCATGGAATTGATGTTACACAACATGTAGTTAGTTCTCCATGGAATTGATGTTACACAACATGTAGTTAGTTCTCCATGGAATTGATGTTACACAACATGTAGTTAGTTCTCCATGGAATTGATGTTACACAACATGTTGTTAGTTCTCCATGGAATTGATGTTACACAACATGTAGATAGTTTTCCATGGAATTGATGTTGTACAATAGTTAGTTTTCTGTGTAGTGTTTTGTGGTCTGTTGTTGGAGTTTTTTTCTTTTTGGCGGATGACTTGTCGTTCTTTCTTTTTGTTTGATTACACTTTTTTTGGTAACTTGTGTTACCTATGTTTCTTCCTATCTTTCAATTTTTATGGAAGTTGACAAAATTTGTAAAAACTGACAGTTTGTCAATGTCATTGTGAGTGGTACATTACTCTGAGAAAAACTAAAGTTTGGGAAAAAAGAAAACCAGGTAATAAAGGGCATAATTGCACTTCTAATACAATTTTATGTTTTGGATCCTCTTTACAAAATAGTGAAGGAGAGACATAGCTTTTTCCAGCGAAGTAAACAGTATAACAGGGCTTTAGTCTGTTATTTACAGGTTCCCTTACTGTAATTTTCAAGGCTGTATGATACGAGGTGTTGTAGACAGTATTACAGTGCTTTTATGTTATAATTACAGGTTACCTTACTGTTATTTTCATGGCTGTTTGCAACGCGATGTTGTAGACAGTAATACAGGGCTTTTATGTTATAATTACAGGTCCCCTTACTGTTATTTTCATGGCTGTATGATACGAGATGTTGTAGACAAAATTCCTTGAAGACTAACCCAATTATCAGTGAAACTACACCACTGCTTTCCGATGCTTTACAGGATTATGAACATTGATGTGTTGTCGACTTATCCTCCACAAAAGCAAACTGCAGTAACAGTGACTTGAGGTTAGCCTGCACAATATCCTTCATAAATCAACCCTATTGGAGGTTAGCCTGCACAATATCCTTCATAAATCAACCATTTTGGAGGTTAGCCTGCACAACATCCTTCATAAATCAACCATATTGGAGGTCAGCCTGCACAATATCCTTCATAAATCAACCATATTGGAGGTTAACCTGCACAATATCCTTCATAAATCAACAATATTGGAGTTAGCCTGCACAATATCCTTTATAAATCAACCATATTGGAGGTCAGCCTGCACACTATCCTTTATAAATCAACCACATTCAATTAGTTTTACTGACTAATACATTTAAAGCAAACATGTTTTCTGAACAATTTCAATTTGTATAAGTCCTTCATAATTCATCATTATGATCTTGTAAGGACCTTTCTTTGACCTGCCTGAATCACAGGTTTTAATTTGGTTTCTAAAAAAAGAAAATTATAAACATCCAGCGGTTAATAAAAATCAAATATTTATAAATCATCACTGGATGATAAACTGCCATCCAGAGTTAAAGACCATTAACATTATTTTTATATATATATAGATATGTTATCATTTCTTTGGCAACGTCAATGCTGTTTGGTTTATGACAGCATAACGTTCATCAAAACCCCTATTAGTCGAGTAGTATTAGATGGAAAATTATCATACTGAAAACTATACTAATTCTTTACATTAACTTTTTTGCAATTATGTATTTTGTCATTTTATTTATTCAGTAATTATTTTAACAGATACCTCTTATGAATTATTGTGTTATGACTTTACTTTATTTTATTTGTATTGACAAAGGTCTAGTAATTCAGCATTAGTTATCTATATACTATTGTGACAAATTGCAGGACAGTTAATTTGTGATTCAGGAAAAGTTTAGATACATCATTTTTGAATGTTAATATTGTTGATATTTGTTAAATGTAAGAACGGTAATATGATATCCGATATTTGTAATACATTGTTAATCAGGTGTTAAAGGAAGATGATAAATTTTATATAAAACGGTTGTTATTAGGCTTTATATTTTCTACATTGTAAGGATGGTGATATAAATATGTAGCTAAGACTAAACATGCAATCTAGTTTTTAAATGATTTTATCTAATATGTTAATGAGGTGGGTGTTAAATAAATTGTTGAGAAAAATCAAAACAATCAAAACAATCAAAAGAGGAACAAAAGCCTCATTTCAAATTATCTTTTTCTCATTGAAATTCTGGCCAAGATGACAATCTTAACGTTTTCAGCTTTTATAGTTTTATGTAAAAGAAAGTTTTATTATTATTACATTGTATTTGCCATGTTGAGGTTGCTGTTAATTCTCTCATTTAAAAGTTCTTCTTTCTATTGAAAACAATAAATGTTCAGCTTGACAGCAAACCTGGATCTACATGTAGGGAGGACTTCTTTGGTCGTCTGCATCAAATTTTGTTATCTGAAAAATAAAAAAAAATAAAAACTGCTAGTCACAATTTAACTTAAATGCTCATAAATATATTAGTTTTTAGGGCATCCAATTGAACAACTTGGAAAATGAGATGATAGAATTCAACCAAATATGTACATATTTTGTACAGGATTTTAAATAAGGCATACGTTTTTTTGTGTTTTTTTTTTATGATTTAGGCTATCTTATTTTAAAATGTGTCCGGCTATATCTCCGTCATTTCTGCTTGATGTTACATCTTTCTGGAAATACTCTCTAATTGTATCTTTAATGTTTCTATTTCAATGAAATTCAATCACATTTTGTGTCCTACAATAAACATTCAAATGACAATTAGTGTTTTGCTTTGATATTCTAATTTAGGAAAAATCTATATATATCTTTTACTGACTGCAGTAAATTATAAATAATATGAAAAAAATGCATTCCAATTAAATGAAGAGTTATTTTCATTTATTTTTGCATTTTACAAGATAAGAAAGTATATGTATATCATAAAAGGAGCATTACAAATGATGTGTTATTTTTATGTTGTTCTCTACTAACTATGTACATTCAAAGGAAGGCCAGTGTATATTTCTGGCTTGGGATTTATTTACAGTGTACATGGACCAAGGGAGTGACTAGTTTATTGCTATGTAGGGGACTTTTAAGATGTATCTAACATGTATGTCATTTTTTCGCCTGCCAGTATATAGCAGTATTATCTATATAAAAAACAGGGCTCTCTCCACAACTGTAGCATTATTTTAAGATATCATCTTGTTTCAAGAAATTATTGCATCACATCCATAGCACAATCTATAAATAGCACCACTTTCCAGGAATATAGTATCACATTACCTTGATGCTAAAAGACCCTTTGACGAACACTGAACCATATATATATATATATATATATATATATATATATAAAAAGTCTAAATTGAAAACAACGTTCAAACCTATGATTGCGTTGGATAAAAACCGCAATTTTGATACGTGTGCATGCAAAACAAATTTCTTGGTAGAGGGGTCTAAATACAGCACAAACAACAATTTCCAAAAGACCAAAAAAAAGTGAAAAAGTCTATTTTAACAAAACGCATTTGACTAACAGGTCGAACAACAGATGTTCTTAAACCCTGCTGACTGCCATTGGCGATTGCCAAATAAATTGATCACCAGATCTAACAAAATGGATCTTAATATTAATTAAATACCAAACAGAAAACAAAAAAACTTGTGGAAAAGATGGTATACCACAAACATGAGGTGCAAAAATTTGTACACATATATATGTTTGTGGTCGACTGCAGGAGAGTTACATGTTGATTACGAAAAAACTACAGCATTAAGGAGTTGATGGCATACATTGAATTTGACCTTTACCAGGAAGCTGCAGAACTTAGGCCTTGAATGATAAAGCTTTGTATATTTGTATAGCATAAATAATTTTTAAGGTATGTTTTAATGTACTGTTTCCAAAAATCTGTTTAACAGATGACCAGTGAGATTCTGTAAATTATTGAAACCCTAATTAGTCTTAAGATTATCAAGTGAAAAAAAAACATCTATTTAAGGTTTATTATAAAGTGTATTGATATGATTTTTTAACATCACAGACCGTATCAATCCTCAACCAATATAATCCTTTGAGCAGATTTCCTCGGATTATATTGGTGTATTTGGTTGCTATAGTTGTGATATTGATTATTCTCTATTTGTATATTGGTCAATGATTTTGATTACGTTTATATCTTTATAAGTTATTTACTAATACATTTTTTTTTAAATATCGTTGTATTTATTTGTTTTAGCAAATATAGAGGATGCTTCATCTGTGAGACATGTATATTTTTGCAGATATTAAACAACTGGCCTATACTTCAGGCTATAAGTAGTCTAGCGGCAAGCCTCGCATATTTATATTGAGAACGATAGAGAACTTTCTTAAACCCATTACTTTCACCTGAAAACTATCTTTATTATCTAGAGAATACAAACATGTATTATTCCTCATACCAAACATATATGCTTTATATTTTGATAAGACAGCAATCTAGCAACACAAACATGAACAAATCATATAGAGATTAAGAAATGGTCTTCAACAACAGGTTCTATTCACAAAGCTCGGTATATCACATTCCAAGACAAATTGTGAGATTAAACTTAAGACCAGACATGATCTTGTATGAAAAAGACATCAATATGTAACAATGTACCCTTTCCCTCATTTTCATGGTACTTTGGGATTTTGTATAATTTAAGCTTATTTGTCACGTTGGGAAGGTATGATATATTATCACCTTTGTTGGTTGTCGTCTGTCTTGCAATTCTTATTGTTGTTAAGCATTGTGTTTCATTTATACATCAGGGCTTTTCCTTTTTCAGTATCAGTCGGGTAAACCATTTTTAGAAAACTAGTGAGGTTTGATGAAATTTGGTTATTCATATTTTAAAACTTTGATATGTGAGTATGAAAACTGAGTATTTCCCTCTGGGTTGTGTTGGTGTTCGTACAAACTTATATTTATAGGTTTCATAACGAGTAAGAATGGAATATCGCTTGATATCAACTCGAGTTATTTAATTTCAATATAACAATAAACGAGCCTTCGGCGAGTTTATTATTACTGTTTAAATTAGATAACGAGAGTTGATATCAAGCGATATCCAATTTTCACAAGCTGTTAAAGCTATTTCTCTTATGGTCAACACTCTCAATCTGTTTAATTTAAAATTCCCCGAAATGTTGATCTAGTCCTTTGCACATTCCAGTATGACGTCACATGTCCTTTTCCGATGTCAAACTTTGACATCAGACATTTTAAGACTTTTTGTACGCTTCAGAATGTAATAAAATTTGACAAAAAGAAGATTATCAGGTGAAATGTGTGAGTGTTTTGTATATTATTGAAGAAATCACATATGACCGTTGCCATAGACGACATGTACATCGTTTTAACCTTTGAAAGTCATCATTGACTTAACGAATAGCCAATGGAAATGCCGTAATATCGTCTTGTGATGCTGGATAAGCCAATCAAATTAACGCAGATTTTCGTATCCCTTTGTCGTATCACACTCCGGCGAATGCGAAGACTTCGACTTACACATTTTGAGCTTTCCATTTTGAATAAGAGATGTAGGATATACGTCAAAATACCCAAACGACATCTAGAGGGAAATTATGTATTCCCAAATAACTAGTTAGGCATTTTCATGTGAATGAAGCCATTTTCCAGCATCACATTAAAAGGTTACAGCCGGACAGCAAATCTCATAATGGCGTCGATTTCATTATTCTTGTCACGTGATTTTCAGTTCACAAAATGACATTTTTTAGCAACGGCAATGACGCCACGAAAGCGACGGCGTAAAGATATTTTATGTATTTACCATTCTCAAACAAAGTTATCATTTGATACTGCAGGTTTCAAACTTTCACTACGTTATTCTTTTAAGAATGAAAATGTAGAATCTCCTTGATTATTTGATTGGCAAAGATGAAAAAACGGACCGTGGCCGTGACACTTCTCAGGTACAAAATTGGCGACCGTTCAAAGGGAGATAACTCGAATGAAAACTCGTTCATGGGACGGCTGATCAGAAACGAATGAAAATAAGCATTTCGCTCAATTTTAGTAAGGGAAACAGTGTTTCTGGGGCATAATATCCAATGATTTATCCGTATGCGAAAGTGAAATGTGTACATATGACAAATATCTTGGAAATTATAATTAATCATTGGAATGAGGGCAGATGTCAAATTTCATGACCTAAACAGTGAGAAAAGTATATTACAGAATGTATGTATGTCATGGAAAATCACTATTTAATTCAAATATTCCAAATGTTTTTCTTATAATCATCTAGAAATCATGGATATTGCTAGTGAAATTGTCAAATATAACATTCAGTTTAAAAAAAAAATAATTGTTTTTGAACTATAATACTACAAACAATTAGCTTCAGAAAGAAATAAAAAAAGGTATGTGGTTAAACATATTTACATAAAGCGAGGGGTTTTGGACCAGTAAATTATTAGAAAAAATACTGATCCCAAGATTAGGTGAAAAATTTCCAGCAATGAAGGAAGAAAAATGTTTCAGCATTTTCCCTGATTGCATGTTTACCTCTATTTTGTCATACTTTGATAGAAATAATTGTTTCAAGGCATACATCTCCTTGGAAAAATGAAGTATTATTATTGAATACACATAAATACTTCATCTTGATTCAGCATTCAATGATTCGTAAACATATTTTTTTCTTTGTAGATCTACATGAAAAAAATATTGTATAAAGATTATGGGTATGAAATGTACATGTTTTATATATTCTATTCTAGAGTAACATTTTAGAGAGTTTTTGGAATTTTGGGTCATCAATGCTCTTCATCTTTAGGCATATTAGCTTGTCGTAATGTTCTATTGTATTGTTTATTTGTGTGTTTCTCTGTCCTGTATGTTCTTCCATTTATTTGTATTGTAGCCCTCTCATGTAATGTTGTCATTTTAGTGTCATATTTAACATTGCCCTCAGTTTTAGTTTGTAACCCGGATTTGTTTTTTCTCAATCGATTTATGAATTGTGAACAGCAGTATACTACTGTTGCCTTTATTTATCTGTTAAGAGCCATCTGTGAACTAAAGATTTTTCCATTCTAAATGGGTGTTACATATGTTTATATATGCAATAGTTAAATAAATATTATGTATCTGAAGTATAATGATGAACATTGAAATGTAACAACTCCTGGTCACTGGCATATAATAACAAATGACAATGTTTATTGCAAATGGAAAATTCAAGGCGCGCTATTAAAAGGCTTACCATTCACCAAACATGTAATTTCTATGTGTGTGTAGGTAGCAATATTAAAAAGTAATAAAAAATGAGAAAAATTAATAAATAATAGAAATATAATCAGGGCTTTATTTAGAAAGTGAGTGAAAATAAAATCTTTTCCTGAACAAATTAATGTCTGAATTGCATTTTTGTCTTTGCAGTGGTTTTACATTCTTATTCTATTTTGACCTTTGGCCTGACAGTGATTGCAAACCTGTCATTTGTTTTGTTGTGTGTTGTATCTTTTCAGAAAAGGGGGATTAAAAAATTATTATGAAATGTAGTTATTTCTGTTTTTAATCATTCAGAACTTGTCAGGATTTAAGAGATATAGAGCTTGGCATATGACATGGATACCCATCCACTATTTACAGTCCCCTTTGGGTGTCATGTCTGTTTTTATCAAGATAACAGAAAATTAAAAGCTTCAACTCTTATTATTAAATCACCAGTCCTTCAATTGCCGAAAGCTTAATAATATGATAAGGGAAATGAGATACCTTGCTTTTCTGAGGGTTTCAGGGTAAGTGCCTCCTCTATTGTTCGGATGATACGACGACAGGCTAAGTTTCTCCTTTATTGTCCGGATGATACGACGACAGGGTAAGTGCCTCATCTATTGTTCAGATGATACGACGACAGGGTAAGTGTCTCCTCTATTGTTCGGATGATACGACGACAGGATAAGTGTCTCCTTTATTGTTTGGATGATACGACGACAGGATAAATAAACTCATCATAGATACCAGGATTGAAATTTTATATTTACGCCAGACGCCCGTTTCGTCTACAAAAGACTCATCAGTGACGCTCGAATCAAAAATGTTAAAAGGGCCAAATAAAGTTGAATAGCATTGAGGACCAAATATTTCTAAAAATTTGCCATATACAGCTAAGGTAATCTATTCCTGAGGTAGAAACGCCTTAGTATTTCAAAAATTCAAAGTTGTGTTAACATTTAATTTATAAATATGAACATATCAATGATAACTCAAGTCAACACAGAAGTGCTGACTACTGGGCTGGTAATACCCTCGGGGAAATAAATCTCCACCAGCAGTGGCATCGACCCAGTGGTTGTAAATTAACTCATCATAGATACCAGGATTGAAATTTTATATTTACGCCAGACGCGCGTTTCGTCTACAAAAGACTCATCAGTAACGCTCAAATCAAAAAGTGTCTCCTCTATTGTTCGGATGATACGACGACAGGATAAGTGTATCCTCTATTGTTCGGATGATACGACGACATGGTAAGTGCCTCCTCTATTGTTCGGATGATACGGCGACAGGGTACGTGCCTCCTCTATTGTTCGGATGATACGAAGACAGGATAAGTGTCTCCTCTATTGTTCGGATGATACGGCGACAGGGTACGTGCCTCCTTTATTGTTCGGATGATACGACGACAGGGTGAGTGTCTCCTCTATTGTTCGGATGATACGGCGACAGGGTACGTGCCTCCTCTATTGTTTGGATGATACGGCTACAGGCTAAGTGCCTCTTCTATTGTTCGGATGATACGACGAAATGGTAAGTGCCTCCACTATTGTTCGGATGATACGACGACAGGGTAAGTGCCTCCTCTATTGTTCGGATGATACGACGACAAGGTAAGTGTCTCCCCTATTGTTCGGATGATACGGCGACAGGGTACGTGCCTCCTCTTTTGTTCGGATGATAGGGCGACATGGTAAGTGCCTCCTCTATTGTTCGGATGATAAGGCGACAGGGTAAATGCCTCCTCTATTGTTTGGATAATACGACGACAGGGTAAGTGCCTCCTATATTCGGATGATACGACGACAGGGCAAGTGCCTCCCCTATTGTACGGATGATACGACGACAAGGTAAGTGCCTCCTCTATTGTTCGGATGATACGGCGACAGGGTAAGTGCCTCCTTTTGTTTGGATGATACGACAACAGGGTAAGCGTC